TAATAGCATGCGCGATGTGCATAATGTTTGGCTCGCATGCCCCTAAAACGAACTGATACCTAAATACGATGATGTACATATTGTTGCAGCTTTCTAGGCGTGCATCGGTATTATTACGGACTTTAAATCATGTCATTATAATCCAACTGCTTATGTAATTTCATTCAGTACCGTATAGAATTACTAAATTGTATCTATGAGACCACAAAATCATGTTATAAAAACAAAATTGTATTTCAAAGTTTAATTTAAATAAATAATATGTAATTTTGTCGATTTACGAGAATATTTCAAATACTAGCGGAAATGTGATCACCGCGTTTATCGTAGCACGTGCAAGCATGCGCGGATACGAATTCTGAGGAGGCTCTTCTATAGTTACGAGTTACGAGCAATGTTGGGCACTTCGTGGGATTTTTTTTAACTAGTCGTCTAAAAGACAGGAATAAAGGAATAATTATATATGATATAGTAGCGAGTGCCTCAAGCCATTCTGACTAATAACTTTTGATAAAAACGTTTTGACAGTTTTCCTTATCCTAGCAACAAATCTTTAATTATTGCTTCTGCCCAATAAAATATTTCATTTTTTTATTATATTTTGCCTTCAAATTATTTTAGAATCCTTGCCTATTATAAATAAATAAATATTTCATTTAATTTCACATACATATTCATTTTCTATGTTCAGTTTGTAATCATTTTCGTGTCATGTAGTGTCGTGAATGATTCTTCTGAAATATGGTTTCCGACGAACAAAGTATTGCTCCTTAATTACAGTTCTATTCCATGTTCAATTTATAATCATTTTCGTAAAATTATCCAGGGCGAGCGCGACTCTCCATTTTATCAAAAATTGTACGTTACTGATGCTGAAATGGTCGCGCATGGGCGAGAATACCCGGCTCGAATCCCAACACTGGTGTCAGATTGCCAGATCCGTACATTGAGCGAAAGCTAAGTCGCATGCGTATTCTTTCTTAGCTTGGTAGATCTCGTGATTTATGTGGTGTATACATACAGGATCTCGATGACGTTTGTACGCGTATTTTCGCGAACGTGAAGATATAATCACGCGGTTTGTTTATCGAACGCTATACTCGTCGAAAATGTTGAAATCTCTCCTGTAAGAGAAGTATAATCTGATGTGTTGAGTGACAGTGTGAAACGAAACAAACAGTTGGTTGCGTTGGTTGTGTACGATCTTTCTCGAACGCAGTGTGTTATGTATTATACGCAGAGGTTCCTGTAGATAAATATTATATATTGCNGTCATGTAGTGTCGTGAATGATTCTTCTGAAATATGGTTTCCGACGAACAAAGTATTGCTCCTTAATTACAGTTCTATTCCATGTTCAATTTATAATCATTTTCGTAAAATTATCCAGGGCGAGCGCGACTCTCCATTTTATCAAAAATTGTACGTTACTGATGCTGAAATGGTCGCGCATGGGCGAGAATACCCGGCTCGAATCCCAACACTGGTGTCAGATTGCCAGATCCGTACATTGAGCGAAAGCTAAGTCGCATGCGTATTCTTTCTTAGCTTGGTAGATCTCGTGATTTATGTGGTGTATACATACAGGATCTCGATGACGTTTGTACGCGTATTTTCGCGAACGTGAAGATATAATCACGCGGTTTGTTTATCGAACGCTATACTCGTCGAAAATGTTGAAATCTCTCCTGTAAGAGAAGTATAATCTGATGTGTTGAGTGACAGTGTGAAACGAAACAAACAGTTGGTTGCGTTGGTTGTGTACGATCTTTCTCGAACGCAGTGTGTTATGTATTATACGCAGAGGTTCCTGTAGATAAATATTATATATTGCCGCGAGTTAACAATTGCACATTTTTCATTGCTCTTTTTAATACGTATCACTTGCGATTTATACATAAACGCACATACATATTCCTTTTTTCTGATTAAATTACGAAACACGGATAGTAGAGGTTAGCGTCTCACAAATAGTCCAAGGATTCTCGCATTGTGTTACAAATTCTTCGATCGATCGATCTTGAAATTTGTTTATTGTATCGCTGTTTTTCCTGATATTCGTGCCAAAAGTGAACGTTACACAACATAAATGCTTCTGTGAAATTCTTCGGAAGCATTGCTTTGTTCACGACGCACATTCTAACAATAAGATTGAAGAAACGTACTCTTATCGTGGGGTCAAATGACAGTAAGCTACAACTACTATTTACAAATGTTTATCCATTAATTTAAGAAAGCAGTTTGTTGGTGATTATATTATTGTTATATTTGTGAAAATGAAATTCCGGGAATTTGATATCTCATATGAAGAAAAGCTCTGAAGAATCACTCATATAATATTGTTATTTTTCGAAATCGTTGAAAAATTGTGTAATTTCTTATTTAGAACATACTGTAATTCTTATACACATTCTTTGCTGTTAGTCGATTGTTACTTTAAAATATGGTAACACTATTTATACAGCATCAAATATATTTTCCTCTGGTTCAGAATACAATGGGAGGAACCAATCTTCACACACCACCTTCCATATTTCAATATATGGTGGGCCAGCAAAGCACTTCCCAACAGCCTCCTGGCCAATGGATGCAAATGCCACAAGTCCCTCCAATGTCAATACCCTGGAGTGTGCCCTCTCTTCAACAGCAGGAAGTAGTCAAATTTCAAGAGTCATTTCTCCATCAGAAGAGAAAACTCGACACTTCTGATCTGATGGATACGTAGGTATCTGAAGTTAACTAAACTACAGTAGCTTGAAGTAAATATTAATCTGACAATAATATTACAGGAGGCAAACAAAACAGTTTATAACAGAAGAGAAAATGGCTGCACATTTCAAAGATTTGCACATTAGTTCTAAATATCATGGCCAATCCTCAACATCTTCAACAACTGATGCGCAAACAACTATTCCTAAGGGATTGCTAGATCTAGAAATAGATGCAGCCAATACAGATCAGATAAAATCTGGACCTAGATTGATTTTGTCTGAAGAATTGAAGAGAATCCAACAGGAGCCTATTCTACCAAATTCCTTGTTATCCAAATTGTGAGTTGGGACATTAATGAACTTTTAATTTTTGAAGAAGAAGAATCTGCTAGAGAAGATAAAGCTTTACAGTTTTTGTGTATCAGAGAGAGGCCCTCCATGGCTTTAGTGCTTTGGGAACCACCAAGTCGACATCTGCGTATGTTGCCCACAAGGGATACACCGACTCCGATTCCTGGCGGGTCTGATGATAACAATAACAGCAATAGCAACAACAATAATAACGAAGATGTTTCCGACCTGAATCAAACATCATCGAGTAATTCTTCACTTTTCGAGCCTATGGAATTATGAAGGTAATCTGTCAGCATCTGCTTTTACGTTTTCGTATATCATTAGGGAAAGAATAACGCGATATTGTGTCGTAGCATAAGTAGAAAACGAAAAACTATCATACATTATATTTTTTATCTGACTATGCTTGCGTAACTTTACGAAGTAAATGAGTATAAAATATTTCTATGGAGTGCAAGTATTTCACATCAGTTATCCAATTATTTAGTCAAGTTTCATTCAGAATTTCTATTAAAATATTGACTAGGATAGAACGAACGAAAAATATGAAAAAGTAAAATTTGTATATTAACTCTTACAAGCTATTATCAAATAAAAGGATTTTAGTTTCTATAGCAATTCGTTTTTTAGTAACATTACTGTTAACAATTGTCAGCAGAAATAATTCAAATAGTGTTACCGGTTATTACGCTCTTGATAATATGAAAATAAAATTTGTAATGGTTCTCAATAAAATTTATAATGATTCTCATGATAGTCTTTAAGGGTTATACGTGATTTATGTGTGCCAGGGGATAGAGAAAAAAGAAAGAAAAATTACAAAAACACATACTTGCTGTGTAATAAATACGTCTATTGATTTAATATGAAATTTTCAGTATTATTGTAACTATTATGGACAAAATACTAACAATTATTGTATACTTGTTTTGTTGTTCCTTGTGTTTTGTGTGTATGCAGTATGATTTGTATTTAATACACTAATCAAATAATATAAAAAAGTATGTGAATAGGGACACTGGAATACATGGAAACGGGTGAAGTGGCAATGAAGTTTTTTATAACAAGAGAGTGTAATAAAGATTCTTTATTATCCATAATCCTGAAAGTATCTTTTGACACATTTGGTAATTGAGAGTATAATATTTTTAATAATATAAGCTGAATAATATTTTTAAGGAACATAAATAAGCGACTGTTTTGCAAACAGGAAATATTTGTATAATCAGTCGATTATTTATCTTCCTCAAAAATATTATTCAGCTTATACTATTAAAAATATTATACTCTCAATTACCAAATGTGTCAAAAGATACTTTCAAGATTATGAATAATGAAGAATATTTATTACACTATGACTCTGTTGTTATGAAAAACTTCATTGCCACTTCACCCGTTTTCATGTATTCCAGTCTCCCTATTCATATACTTTCTCACTCAATTATCGAAAGGTTCGCCATTTATGGCCTGAGCAACTTTTACGTTTTCCAAGATTGATACGTGATCTCCTTTGAGCTTGTGCACTATCATTTTTCCTTGCGTCAACTAAAAGCAGCATCATTTTATTGTATGAGACGCCGGAGGAATAAAACATCGATATTAATTTATAATCTATGTTACCTTGCTGAGACCATAATCTGCATCCGGGATCTGTACAGACTGAACTGTCGGTTTTAGTAACGTGATAGGTGTTTTAAGAGGTGCCGATGAAGAAGGATTGTACGCCTCTGTTAAACAGGAACGTTTGAATATAAATGAAATAAGTGCTTTTACGGTTTCCGTCGAGTACTTTTGAATTACATCTGGCAAATATTTGATTCCAGCATTTAACTTGTCGTTCCAAGTTTTGGACTTGTCCAACTCTGTCATAAACTATAAAAAATAAATTTGAACAAATTAAGTACTGAAGTACAAGTATCGAAAGTTCTATTATTGGAAGACATATTACCTCTGCGATAGTAGAGGAACCTGTCTTACTTATTACATAAGTCAAAAATTTATTCTGCTTTTCATCTGCTGTTGCAGCTGCGAAAAGTGTAGTGTTTATAGCTTTCGTGTAATCGGGAGAACCGTCTATTAATATAAGTTGCCCAGTTAAGGAGCGAGCTTCCAATCTTCTTACTAATTCTATAGCTATTAGTGATCCGAACGAATATCCGACAACCACAAAGCTTTTTCGACCTTTACACCTCGCTAAAACGAGCTGAAAAACAACAGAAATGAGAAAATATCTTTTTTTTTATTATAAGTTGAACGATAAAATCAAACAAATCATTTTTTATTACAAAACATACAGGCAGAAGGAGATCAGCTATGTCCTCTATACTTTCAACCTTATCGGTTATTTTTACTCTTAAACAAACAGCAGGTGATTTTAAATTCGGTGCTAGCGAAATGAATGTGTTAGCTGATCCTTCGATACCAGGTATCAGGAATATCTCGTCCTTCTGCTCATGACATACGACAGGCTGTTCTATACAATACTGATCATTTATTAACGAAGGAATGTTTGACCACCACTTCTCTTCAATGTATGGGATATTGTCTGTAAAGCTTTCTGTACTTTTTTTCGTTACTTTCGTGGCATTATCAGTTGACATTTTTGTCAATTTAGCTATAGTTAGGTTCCTGACATCCTGTAGCGTTAGAGCTATCTCAAAGTCTCTCTCCAGAGTTTGTCTTATCTCTGTGGCCATCATTGAATCCAAGCCTATTTCAGGCAAAGGTGTATTCTGGCCTACAGTTCTTAGGTTCGATATATCTAAAATAGGGGAATAATTTTACAAGTCAAAATTAATAGCTATAGATGAATCCTTATACAAGCTATAATAAAACTTTCAGAATACTTGCTCATAATATTCATCACCGTTTCAAGAATACTGGTTGCTTCTCGAGTCCTGGATTGTTTCTCTGCCACTACCATGCAAGCTACGATTGGTCTACACTGACACATAAATTTATCGAATTCTTCCAAACACGATGATATCCTTTGGGGCAATGTTCCACCAATTTCTAATTGCTGCCTATTTTCCAACATGTCAGCTGCAAGACCGACATCTCCGACTGCTCCCCACTGAATTGCCATGCCAGGAAGGCCTTCTTCTACTCTTCTTTCGCAAATTCTCTCCAACACGGCGTTTCCCATACCATAATTAGTTTGTCCAGCAGTTCCCCTTCCACACGACAGGGAAGAAAAGACTACGAAGTATCGAAGTTTTGGACAAGTTTTCCTTGAAACTTCGTCCAATTTCTTAGTGATTTTGGCCTTTGGTTTCATGCTCTCTTCAAACAATTTTGCTGTTTGGTTTTCCATTAGACAATCTTTCAAGAGAGCTGCCAAATTAAAGATACCATCGACAGGTGCCTGTTTCTCTGCGGATCGTAAAATGAATTCGCAGTCGTCCGTTTTTGATGCATCTGCGCCGGAAATAATTTGAACCTTCACGCCATAGGATTTCCATACTTCTGTCCTCAGTCTCTGATACCCAGTTTTTATTCCATTTCTGGAAACCATTACTAAGTTCTTAGCACCACGTAAAACGAGCCAGTCCGCAAGCTCAAGACCAAGTCCACCTAAACCACCAACAAGCACGTAGCTTTTGTCTCTCATAGCGTTGAAACGAGGATAAGCAAGAACTCGAGTATCTAGAGGAGTCTCTTCGCCTGCTATTTTAATTACAATCTGTAGAAGAAACAATAGAAGTAATATTCGGTGATGAACGGAAATCAGTTGATGTTAAATATTCCGTTAGGGAAAAGTGAAGAAAAAAAGTAATTACCTTTCCAATATGCTTTCCGGCTGCCATGTACCTGAATGCTTCTTCCAACTGATCCTTCTGGAAGGTTTTCCGTACTAGCGGATTGATAGCTTTAGCCCTATCTTTCAATTGTTTATTAAGAAAATTATACATTTCTTCTTGTAGAACAGGCGAAATACCGCTGATCACGCCATCCAATAAAACTCCATGAAAAGTTATTTCTTTCAAAAATATCTTCATTCCCAATTTATTATTAGAAGCCAAATCGAATTTACCAATTTCTAAGAAACGGCCGCGGTAACCCAAGCATCTAACAGATGCTTGGAGTTTGTCTTCAGCTAAAGAATTTAAAACTACATCGACACCTTTTCCGTGCGTCTGTTCCATCACCATCTGTTCAAAACTAGTATCTCGAGAGTTTCCTATATGATCATCATCTATGCTGGGGAAGGTTTCCTTAATGAACTTGCGTTTTTCGGGCGTGCCCACTGTAGTGAACACCTCGCAACCTTCTGCGAGGGCCACGTTGATCGCTGCCTGACCTACAGCACCACTTCCTGCATGGATCAGTACCTTTTCCCCTTTTTTTAATTTCCCGAAGTAGAAGAAAGCGTAGAGTACGGTGAAGTAGGCAGACGGAATTGTTGCTGCATCTTCGAGGGACCACTCATCTGGTACTGGCCACACAGTTAATTTATCAGGAGTGACTAGATTCGATATAGCCCTGAATAACAAATTAATAGATGAGTTTATTGACAGACAATTAAAAAAACAAAGCAAATTACAATTGTAAATAATTCATCTTACTTGCTATCTACAAAGCCCATTACTCGCCGACCATTGGAGTCGATGCCGCTGAATTCGAAGCCGATTAAGCAGTCTGTACTTTCTCTTTTGCTTGCTATGGCTTCTGGCATTAGTTTTCCCGTAGCTAGCATCACATCTCTAAAGTTCAAAGAAGCGTACACCACCTTCACGATATTATCGTACTTCGCATCAGGTTGTATTGGACCCTGCATCCACTGAATGGAACTCAAATCTCCTCTTACCTATAATATGATGTGTATAATCTTGGGAAGAAATATACGATTTTAGTCATAATACGTTCACACCCACTTTTAAGTTGACATATCCATGTGGAACTGGAATTGGCTTCACTTCCGGATATGGTACGTGTCTGTAAGTACCCCAAATTCTACCCGGTCTTAAAACATTATAAGCAATGTTTAGGTCCAGTTGTTCAGAGTAAAATGGATCGTTTAATGAAAACTTTGGTGCATTCTTATCTTGAATTATTACAGCCTTGACAATTTCACCATTAGGTTCTCTTCTCAAACATTTGACCATACCTAATAAACCATTCTCCATATCTCCTTCGGCAACTAGCACCAGTCTTGTTGTTTCATTAGTTTTTTTATCTTTCTCGTTCTTCATAATCATTTTCACCTTTTCAATCCAACTGAATTCATTATTGTTTACGTGCACTACCTCTGTTTTCTGAGGTGGCTTCTCTTCTTTCTTCAGAAGCAGTAAAGTCTGCTTATTGAGACTTTTCTCTAAAACGATGTTCAGCCCGCATGATTTAAGGAAGGGAAATGTATCTTTATTAATACCGCTCTCTTGAAGGAGAATAAATCCCTTATCTTCTGTTGCGTGTATTAGCTGCTCTAGAATGTCTGACCTTTTGCTGCTTATAATATCGCATGCAGCTGCCATGAAGACACTCGCGTCTTGCGGCAATTTATTTTCTTCAATTACCGTAACATTCTCGGAAAGTGATAATTCTTCACTTCGACTCGCTTTTGCACATAGAATCAAATTTGGGCGAACCATTGGTAAATTACTTAGAACTTTCATGAAAATAGGGCAAAGAGTTTCTGCAATTGGAACCTTCTCTTCTTCATGAATTATTTCAAGAATCTTTGGAGTAGTTGTTATGTGACTTTCTAACGCTAGTTGGGTGGATAATATTATCATGTCTGCTAAGGGTGTTTGCGCGTTATCACGGTTAGCGACGAACTTGTATTCTTCCAAAACTGGCTCAGCCATTGGTTTTCGTCGTTGAATACTATTAGCCTCTATTCCGCGCATTTCAATTCCTCCGGCTATTACTGCTTTGTAATCTTTGTACACAGATACTGGAATTTCTGTAATTAGAATTTTGTTATCATGTTTCGTATTTGCTTTTAGTGTCGTATTATATTTTTACTGTACTATGTTAGATTACATACCTTTACTATCTTCGGTGAGACGTTGAATTATTTTACTGTGAGCTTTCACGTCTATCGCCAATTTTTGTATGCCTGTTGGTACGTACAGAGCTCTAGTATCGAGTCCCAATATCTGTATTTGTAACATGTTATCCATAAATGCAGCCCAATTTTCGTACCAAGCAATACGTCCTCTGGTGCCCCTGATGGATGCACTTTTCAAGCTACAGAATATTTCAGTATATTCGTACCCACGAAGTTTCAGTTCCTTGTATATATCTTTGCTAGTGAGCGGTTCATCGGTCTCGACTGATTTCAAGTATTTAACATCAATCATTTCTTCTGAGGGATTCGACATTTCACGGATCGATCCCGTCACAACAGTTGTAGACTTTTCTGATATCTCGAATTTCCCGGAACCTGGGGTAATTAGTGCGCAGAGCATGTAGTGAATCTTCATGAAAAATTATACACGTTGAAGAAGAACGTACCTCTATGGATCATGATTGATAAGAAAACTGGCGAAGAAATGTTAGATGCACGTTCAAACTTCACATCTTCGAAAATCACTGATAATTCATTCATAAGCTTTCCTTGCATCATACTAAATGTTTCCCAGACCAGAACCAAGTATCCCGTGGCTGGAAGCAAGTTTCTTCCATCAATTACGTGATGAGCCATATACTTAAAATCGTTGTTTGAAATTACTATTTCAACATTCCTTTCTGCCGTTGTTATGTTCTCGCTTGAGCCAAGTTTTAATACAAATAAATCTTCAGAGTGCTCCCATCTAATACAAAGCATTTCTATTTAGTATTGCTGCAAGTTTATTTTGTACGCAATACATTATATAATGCGTACGTATGTACTCACCTAACGTAGGGCGAGATCATGGGAGTACCACGACTAACCGGAAATTCTACGTATGGATAAAGATTCGCCAATTGTGGTTGCAAACCAGCATTGTATAATTTTCCAAGGGCTTGTAAAAAGTATTCTGCATTGTCGTTGTATCCTCTCAGAGTTAGCGGTACGTTTACTACGTTAGGACCCAGCGATCTTTTCACGATCGCCTGTAGAAGTCCATGGGGCGCGATTTCTATAGCTATCGCGTCAGACGGGATCATTGCAGCAGTTTCCTCGAATAATACCGAGTTCAACAAGTTATTTGTATGATACTCAGCGGATGAGTATTTGGCAGATTCTTTAGACCACTCAGTCTGAGGTACAGAACTGCTCAACCATTTGGAGCTCCTGCGTTTTGGTTCGGGAATCACTTTTTTCAAATATGCCAACAATTTTGTTCCCGCCTCGGCAATATATCGACTATGATATGCAATGTTGCTGCACGCCACTTCTCTGGCGAAGATATTTTTCGCCTACAATAATTAGGAGTTCATAGAAATGATTGTTAAAGATAAATGAAGTACAGTGGAGGGACAAACCGTTAATTCTGCAACGAACTTCTTCATTGATTCAGCTGGTCCACTTATAGTGGAGCTCTGAGAGCTGTTGTGACAAGCAACTTCTATATCAGGTGGACACATGTCCTTTATTTCCTTGTATCCAAGACCAACTGCAGCCATAGAACCTCGAATCATTTTAGTTTCTATGGATGCTAAACCCCTAGAATATGCTGCGAGCACCATTTGTTCAGCCGTAAAACATCCATCAGCGTATGCGCAACCGAGTTCTCCGACAGAGTGCCCGATTATATTATCCGGTTCGATGCCCACGGATGTTAACAGATCAACAAGACCGATCTGAAGGAATATTTTCAGTTCTAGTAGAATACGACTAAGCATAATAGCAAATTTTACAGGCTTTATAAGTATTTTACTTGGACTGCGGCGATCCCAACGAACGAATTTAAGATATTATCGAAAGTCTTCTTATCCTTGTTAGTAAGAATATCGAAGATATCCACACCGTGCGGCTTCAACACTGCATCGCACTTTTGAATAGCTTTATAGAAAATTGGGAACTTCATCAATGCCTCGCCTATTGGATTGTGAAACGAAATTAGAATTATATAAATCTTCTCCCTGCTGGTTGTCTGCGTAAGTGACATTAAATATTTCCGTATAAGTACCCATGCCAGGCCACTGGGAGCCCATTCCAGAAAAGACAAACCAAATTGGCCTTTTCACGCCAGGATATTGTTGGATCTCTTTGATTGGTCTTCCTGATGTGGAATTAACGAGTGTATAGCCTCTGAACAAATGTCCCGATATTTCCTCGTTATGTATATCGTGTAAAAGTCGGATATATTCTACGTCCACTGGAATACTTTCCACATAGTCGAGAAGTGTTTTCACTGCTTCTTCTGTGCGACCAGATACTGCTACCAATCGAGGCAAATCATCAGAAGGTGCTCCATTGTTCACTTTCTCCTTCGTGAACGATTTCAGCAAAACGTGAGCATTTGCGCCACCGAAACCGAACGAGTTCACTCCTACGTAGCCACCCTCCCATGGAGTTGGTTCCGTAATTACTTGAAGTTTTCCTTCCTCGAAACATTTCACACCCTTCGTTGGACTTGTAAAATGCAAATTTGGTGGAATTAAACCGCTTTCCATCGCAATGATGACCTTAAAATTTATATGCAATCGTCATTTACATTTTATTTGAGGAAGATATCTTTTAAAACATTACGGTTACTACCTTAATCACAGAACAAAGACCACTGGAAGCTTCTGTGTGACCCATATTCGACTTAATAGAACCAATTTTGAGGGGTGTATTTCTGCCCTGACAAAATACTTGATCTATCGCGTTTAATTCCTCAGGGTCGCCCACGACAGTTCCGGTAGCGTGAGCTTCCAGGTAAGCCAATTCATGGGGAGATACTTTGCATTCCTTGTACACGTCAGTCAAGAGTATTTTCTGTACTTGTGAGGAAGGAAACGTAATACCCTGTGCTTTGTAGCCATCGCAGTTGCTCTTTGAGTGTACGACTTGTGCATAAATTCTTTTCGCATCCTTTGCTCTCTGCAATAGTATTGTGCATACGGCTTCACTACGGACGTATCCACTACCTTTGGAATCGAAACTCCTGCATCTGCAGTCTTTACTCAGCACGCCTGATACGAAGAAAAAAGCCAAATCGATTCACTTGTGTGAAATATACCAGTACATTAATATTTCGCGTCTTCTTGAAGGATGTATTGTATAGTCAATCCCACAAGTTTATGCACTTCAGAAACGCATTTCTTAAAAAGAAATCAGACGTCGGATGAACATTGCTAATAATAAACAACAAAAAAAAATTTTCGATTTTTCCGACATTTTTCCAAGGGGTACGCCTTCAATTTCTTCCAAATTTTTGTTTTTGGCTAATAATTCCCAAAGCGTTGGACATACGGAAAAATTACATATGACCTTTCTTGTAGAGGATGACGAGATCTACAATTCCTGTATAAAAGTTTCTTGCTAGCGTCAATAGTTAACGAGTAATTTGCAAAAAACTGTTTTTTCGTTTTTCTTCCATAACTCGTTCAATAGTAATGCTAGCGAAAAACTTTTATACAGAAATTGTAGATCTCGTCGTCCTCTACAAGAAAGGTCCTATACAATTTTCTCGTAGATTCAACGGTTTAGGAGTTATTGGCCAAAA